CCCCACTCTAGGGTCTCTGCATGTATTTGGAGAAGTGAAGGTGTGGGGGACAGTGAAGAGGGAGAAAGAGGAGAGGAGACCTGAGTGGGGCTGTGGATGGTAGAGGAATGAAGATACCCAGGGGGCTGCCCAGGAAGGGTTAATCCACTTTTCCTCCCTCTCTCCCTCCCTCTCCTCCCCTCAGGTCACCTTCTCAGCCCTGGAGACTTGGCTGGTGGCTCAAGTTCCTCAACCAGTGGCCCTGAGTAATCAGAGCACACAGAGGGGCCATGGGCCTGGGGGTGGAAAATGTACATTGGGGGCAATACTGAGGAGTTTAGGGGTTTGTGAGGCTGAGGATTTGAAAGCACTTCAGATTGGTTCCCAGTACTCCCCCCTCCCCCATCTGTTTCTTCTACCTTCTACCCACCAGGGGAGAATTCCTCGAACTCTCCTGGACTGCAGGGGTGGGGAGCAAGCTGGGAGAAATTGTGGGGAGCTGCCAGGAAGCTTTCCAGCTGCAAGAGACGGGTTCCCTCCCCCCAGTACCGGGAACTGGCCATAAATGGGTCTGTGGTCAGCCAGAGACTTCTGCTAATGGAACCTGGGCTGCCCCACAAGCCACAGAAAGGAGTGGGGGTAGGGGACAGGCCTGGGGAAAATGACCTAAGTGCAGCTCTGCAGGGGGTGGGTGCTGACCTGAAGTAGAGCTGGTGGCCAGGGGCTGTTTGGAGGGAAACCGGAGTCATTTACAGGAAAGTAACTGGAAATAAACTGGGGACTGGAAAGTGATTGGAAGGGAATTGGAGGGGCTCAAAGAGATAATTAGAGGGAGACTAGGTCTAAAGATATATGGGGGAACCAGGGATCAGTGAACTAATTGGGGGGGGGGAGATTAGAGAAACTAGGAGTCTGAGCAAGTACCTGCAGGGTGTTGAGGGCATGGATAATCTAGAGGAAGAACTGGGCAAGGAGAGAATGAAGGAGGGGACCCAGAACTAGGATGAGGAAACTGAGGGAACAGATTACAGAAGAAAGCAAGAACATGCATATTGGGAGTGAGGGAGGGTTGTTGGGGTGTGAGGTCATCCTGGCAGTGGACACTGATGACTGTGCTGAGCCCACCTCACCTTGAGAAGATGGGGACCAGGAGCCCCCCCTCACCCTAGACCCTAGGGGTCCTCCAGGGCTTTCCATTCTGTCTTCAACCCTGTGTCCTGCTGGAGCTGGTAACAGGAAAGGGGCTCTGAGCCCCTCTTCCCCTCATCAGCCTCCCTTTCTCACTGCCATCAATTATTCATCAGCCCAGACAACTGCCCTCACTGGCAGAGCAGGCTGGTCCTCCTCTCCACGCCCCGCCCCGCTCCGCTTCAGCCACATTGCCACAGTCTCCTGGAGAGGAAGGACAGGCACAGAGACCTGGCAGAAGGGCTGGGTGACTGGCATCACATCTCCATTCCCACGGCACTTTCTCCCTTTGTCTGCCAATCCCTGGTGCCAGGAAGCCTCCGGAGAAGATGCCCATCCACATCTTCTGCTCTTTGTCATTCTCCTCTGAAGAGGAGGCCCCAGGGCCCTCAGGAGATGTTTGGGGTTCCCACCGAGGACACCACGGGGATAACTCAGAAGCTGAAGAGGAGGAAGAGGAGAAGGAAAAGGAGGCCAGTGAGGGGGCTCTCCCTGCGGACTTGGTGGCCTTTGCTAACAGCTGTACTCTCCATGGCGCCAGTCATGTCTTTGTGGAGGGGGGGCCTGGGCTAAGGCAGGCTCTGTGGGCGGTGGCCTTTGTCCTAGCACTAGGTGCCTTCCTATGCCAGGTAGGCGACCGTGTTGCTTATTACCTTAGCTACCCGCACGTGACTTTGCTAGATGAGGTGACCACCACAGAGTTGGCCTTCCCAGCCGTTACACTGTGCAACACCAATGCCGTACGGTTGTCCCAGCTCAGTTACCCTGACTTGCTCTACCTGGCCCCCATGTTGGGACTGGATGAGAGTGATGACCCTGGGGTGCCCCTTGCCCCACCGGGGCCTGAGGCCTTCTCTGGGGAGCCTTTTAACCTGCACCGATTCTACAATCGCTCCTGCCACCGGCTGGAGGACATGCTGCTCTATTGCTCCTACTGCGGGGGGCCCTGCGGCCCTCACAACTTCTCGGTGGTGAGTGGGGGCCCATTCTGACCATCACCTTCTGGGGCTGGTGACCATGTTTCTCCCTCAACTGGCCTACACACCCTCTGGGATATGCTCAGAGAGGCCTCTGCCAGAGCTGCCCAGGGGGCCTTGGCACTAGGCTGATATTCCCAGATCTACATCTGTACCATTCTCATGATTGGTATTCAAAATCATCTGTGCTGGTTGGTTCTTAGCTGCTGTTCTGAGGCCCTGGTGCTTCCCTGAATAACCTCCAGCATCCCCAGCCCTTCTCCAGACCTCCCTGGGATCCAGCAGGGTCCTAGGACCTTGCTCCATTTCTGAAGTCAATCTTGGATCTGTTGGTAGGTGCCCACACCTGACCAACTGGTAACTATTTTGACTGTCAATACCTGAACTGGAGCTGGAGTGGAGGCCTTCTGGTCTCTGGAGGTTCAGGGCCAGGAAGTAGAGGGGGCAGGGCAGTAGCCCCCACCTTCATGCATCTTACCCCTCACCACCCTGCCAGCAACTCCAGTAGAGGGAGCATCTTTAGTGGTTCTTTCTGTGCTCCCTCCTCAAGCTCCATGGTGTGTGTGTGTGTGTGTGTGTGTGTGTGTAAGGTAAACAATAGATTTTTTCCAAATCACTTCTATCCTAGCAGCTCTGACCCAGGGAAGTGGGCGCTGGGAGAGTCTGCCTCCCGCTCGACCCTCCCACCCAAGGACCTAGAGCCCTCCCTACTGAGGGACCAGGGCCAGCACCCCATCATCTCTGGAAACTTGCTTCTAGATCTGTCTGGCTTGACTCTTCTGCCCCATCTCCCTGACTCCAAGTCTTCCCTCCTCATCTTTTAATTCCTTACTTCACCCTAGAATGGGAGCAGGTAGGCATCATCATATCAGCGCATTGTAGACTGATTGCACACGGATGGGGCGTTTTAGCCAATGGACCTTAGGCAGGCCAAGAAATAAAAGAAGATGGGAGTAATGGAGGGTTCTTCTGGGCCCGAGTAGAGCAGACGCTTCTCACTCACAACCATTAGGTGGCGGCAGCAGCAAACCTTTGTTTAGCGCTGAGTAAGGGCTCCCAGCCAGCTTTAAGCACATGGTAGTGACGGTTGTGTACCATGGAGTTCATTCCTATTCCTAGTAACTCTAAATAGGGTTTTCGATGTTTTAAATCTTTATGGGAGGAAGCCTCCTCTTTCTCCCGAGGAGCAGCTGGTGGATTCAAACTGCTGACCTTGCAGTTCGCAGCCCAACACCTAACCACTACGCTACCAGAGCTCCTTTTAACTAGGTTGTTGTTGCTGTTGTTTATTTGCCGTGGAGTCGGTTCCGACTCATAGAGACCTTGTACAGGGTTTCCGAAGCTGTAAATCTTTACAGGAGTAGAAAGCCCTCATCTTTCTCCTGCAGAACAGCTGGTTTCAAACTGCTGACTCTGAGATCAGCAGCCCGGTTCATAATCACTACGCTACCAGAGCTCCTTATTAACCAGGTTAAATCCCGCAAATCTCCAGGTGAAATGTAACGACTGGGTGTGTGGCCAGCTTTGGAGCCTGTGGATGAATGATCGAAGAACTGTGGGGACTCAAATTTCTCTCAGACTCTCTCAGGCTATCTCAGGACTTCACCCACAAAATGGGAGACCAGAATGTTTTCTTTTGGGGAGGAAGAGTAGCAGGAGCTGTTCCACAAGTGGGGGGGGGGGATGACTTGGTCAACCCACCTCACACCCACCTTATTTGGGTCAAGACTATTTCCTAGCTTGTCCTATCCCCACCCCCTGCTCAAATCTTCCCTGAAAGATCTCACCAATGACTCGCTTTGTGGACTTTGCCACACAAGGTTTAGAAAAAGACCTTGAAGAATTGGCTCACTTCTCTCTATGGTGCTGTGTAATCAGAGCTGTGGCAAGGTCTGCACTGAGGGATGGAGTGAGAAAAAGTTGGGGAGACTGCCCCATGGCTGAAAGCCCTTTTGAAACACCCACACTTCTGTTAAGGGATGACCACATGTGTCATGCTCCAGACAGTCAGTCCCCAATGCTGGGTGAAGTGGTGCTAGGATGGGCATGGTCCTTGGCATGGCAACTGGGTCTACTCTGTGGCTCCCGTGACTATGAGACAATGATGAACACAAAGGGCTAATGGCTTAGCTTGGCTTGGGTGATGGTCTTGAGAGAGCAGGATTTCAGATACCTGGGGTGAAATCCAGGAGAAGAGGTGAGATTCTCAGAAGGCCTTGTGAGCTCAGGCTTGAGGGAAGGGGTCCAAGGAAGAGTCAGGGGTCTGGCAATGATAGGATCTTAGTAAAGGAGCTGTACATGTCATGGTCTTGGCAGGGAAAAGCTTGCTACTCAAATAGTTCAATGAAAAGACTTTAACAAAGTTAAAGTTGTAGGCAGGGTTAAGGAAACCCATGACGGAGGCTGAGGCACTGTCAATAGTGGGAAATAGCTGCCACCTATCAGCTGAAGGAGCACAAGGAGGAAAGTGTTATGGCGGGAAGCTTATTGCCAGGATCTATAGACACTGAGGTGAAGCAGACGCTGAACTACAAAAGGGTGGGGCTAGGCAAGGACAAGTGCCCATTCTCTCTCTCTCCTGCCATCCTCTGATTCCTTTCTGATGCTTCTCATTGGCCAAACCCAACTAGAAGCCCATCAGATGGCAAAGGAGCTCAGGTGATGTACCCCACAAGGATCAGCTTTCCAGTACACACAACAGGGCAAAGAAGGGTGGAGAATGGGAGAGGGGCAAAAATAGAGAATGAGGGGGAATTGATCCTAGAGGGTTTCAAGATTCTAGCAACTGGGAAGTCCGGGGACTTGGTGGGTATGGGATGCTGGCAGGGCTTCAGGGTCTCCACTATTCCCCAACAGGTCTTCACGCGGTATGGGAAGTGCTACACGTTCAACTCAGGCCGAGATGGGCGGCCAAGACTGAAGACCATGAAGGGTGGGACGGGCAATGGACTGGAGATCATGCTGGACATCCAGCAAGACGAGTACCTGCCAGTATGGGGGGAGACTGGTACGGCATTCTCCTCAGGGGTCCCCTGGTCCTGGGCTCCCTCGTTCATGGCTCCTGGACCTAGCCTCAGCCGGGGCACTCCTGGGCTCCACTGTGGGGCCAGAGGCAGAGCTCAGGTTGTCCTCTTTTCCTCCCAGTATCTCACCATCTCTTTCTCCAACTCTACCTGTCTTCCACACTCACATCTCTTTGGTTCCCCCTTCCTGGCTCAGTTACTCTCCAAGGTAACCAGCCATCCTCTTCCATCAGCGGCCTGCCACTAGCTCTATAAATAACTCCCTCTCTACTCAGGCTGCCTGCTGTCTGTCTGGACTCAGGTGCCTTGGGGCAGAGAGAAATAGGGGAGAAGGGAAGAAGGGAGGGAAAGAGATGGAAAGAGTCTGAGGCAGTCATAACCTACTAAAAAGAATGTGAACCCCCACCCCTCTGATGTATAATGATGTATAACAGAAACCAGGTAAGAAGGATGCAAGGGGTCATTGAGCAGCAGGGGGACTGGTGGACCCAGAAGGAGGTGGGGGATGGGATAGTATTCTATAGACCTCCCAGCCCATTGTGTGCTGTGCTTATTCTCAGGAGATACAGGATGTCTCCAGCTCTGAAAAAGCCTCGGGAGCCCGAATCCCTCCCAACAGCACACACCCTCATTCCCACAGATGAGACATCCTTTGAAGCAGGCATCAAAGTGCAGATCCACAGTCAGGATGAGCCTCCCTTTATTGATCAGCTGGGCTTTGGCGTGGCTCCAGGGTTCCAAACTTTCGTGGCCTGCCAGGAGCAGCGGGTGAGAGAGCCATGGGGTGCTGTTCCCAGGGTGCACTGCTAACGGATGACAATGGCATGGTGGGCGATCAGTAATGGGAGGGACAGGGGAGATGGACTTTGGGTGGCCAGTTGGCTAGTCAGAAGCATAAATAATCTAGTGAAAGGGAATGCTCTGTAAACTCTGAGGCCTTCAGAGCCTGCAAATGGAGAGGGGAAAGGACTCCTGAGTTCTGAGTCTTATCAGAGAAGCATATCAAGGTGACTCAGGAAAAGTCCCCACACCCCCCAGCTCCCTGGCTCTCCCAGCAGCTCATCTACCTGCCCCCGCCCTGGGGCACCTGCAAAGCTGTTACCATGGACTTGGATTTCTTCGACTCCTACAGCATCACCGCCTGCCGCATTGACTGTGAGACTCGCTACCTGGTGGAGAATTGCAACTGCCGCATGGTACACATGCCAGGTCAGGCCAAGATACTCCAAGCCCAATCCTGAGGCCCCTTATCAACTTCCCATGTACCAACCTTCTGCCAACAAGGAAGCAAAACCAGCTGGCTTCTCTCCACCCCATTTCTAGCCCCATTCCATACCCATCTGGCTCTTGTCTCTCTGACCTCAATTCCTGCCTGTACAGGGAGGGATTAAGTCCACAGGAATGAGTGGGAAAGGTTCAAGAGGGATGAACTGGGTTGGAGAAGTGTGAGGAGGTGGGGAGTCAACTCCAGGACAGACTTGGAACTGGCTAGTCTTACCTTCTCATCCTCTGCAAGCTACCACCTTGTAGACCTGTATTACTACTACCACTACAAGAGCTCTTCAATCTCTACCCTCCACCACCCGTAGGGGATGCGCCATACTGCACTCCAGAGCAGTACAAAGAGTGTGCAGATCCTGCTCTGGGTGAGTGCCCTGCCCTGGACAATTTGGGAGGGATGCAGGTGCTAAGAACTACATGCACAGGTATCACAGACCAAATTCTCAGAGACTTCAAATAACTCCTGGACCACCCTGTATCCCAGCCTTGACTTTATTTAGCAAGCCTGTGAATAGCATCTCCAGAAGACCCCTAGGAAAGATAACTTGGGGTCATCTGGGAGGGACCCTTACCCTCACTCATTAGCACCTCAGCTGGTGGACCCTGGAGGGCCCTAAGGGAATGAAATACAGATTAAGAACTATCCATGGGGAGGCTAGGAGACCCATCAGCAATGGGTGAAGGACAGGGCAGGAAAAGACCCAGGGGGCCTTGGGCAAGGCCAGGATGTGCATGGTGGGAAGGTGCTGGAAGACTAAGAGCTCCACTCAACTGGTGCCTCCTACCTGGCTGGGACACAGACTTCCTGGTGGAGAAGGACCAGGAGTACTGCGTGTGTGAAATGCCCTGCAACCTGACCCGCTATGGCAAGGAGCTGTCCATGGTCAAGATTCCCAGCAAAGCCTCAGCCAAGTACCTGGCCAAAAAGTTCAACAAGTCTGAGCAGTACATAGGGTAAGGGCTCTGACTGTGACCTTAAGCTGGGGACTGTTGAGGGTATATAGGGTTTGATGGGAGGCAGGCAGGACAAAGCTGAGATGACCTAGGGAAGGCCTAAAGAGACTGGAGTGGGTATAGAGGAAAAATCAAGCCACAATAAGCAGGGGAAATCACCTTTCTCCCATTCTCCCTGCTTGGTCCCCTGTCTTCATCCTCATTGTTGTAACTGTAATCACCTCACACTTCGCAGTGTGCACAGGGTCTTTTTTGTATAGAACATCTTATTTTACCTTCAACAGCTTTACAAAGCTGGTATTTCCATTAGCATCTCACTTTATAGATTTGGAGCTTGAGAAAGGGTTAATTTGCTAAGATCACCCAGCTAGGAAGGGGCAGAGATATGACTTGAACCTAGGTCTCCTCCCCCAACCCCACTGCAGGGAGAACATCCTGGTGCTGGACATTTTCTTTGAAGTCCTCAACTATGAAACCATCGAGCAGAAGAAAGCCTATGAGATTGCAGGGCTCCTGGGTGAGCTGCTGATAGCACCTGTCTCCTTCTCATGTTACGGACTTGGCCTGGCTTCCCACCACCCAAAGCTCACCTCTGTCACATGAGGCTCCCCTAAACCCCCAGGGACCTTTCCCACAATCCTGTTGCCTTGGTATCTGGTAAGGAGAGGGGGCTGAACCTTCTCTTACCCACCCACTACCATCGAGTTGATTCTGACAAATAGTGACCAAGGCTGTAAATATCTATGGGAGTAGAAAGCCTCATCTGTCTTCCAGGGAACAGTTAGTGGGTGTGAACTGCCAACCTTGTAGTTAGCAGCCCAGTGCTTATCCTACAGCACCACCAGTGCTCCTTCTTCTAGGACAAAGTAGAAGAGACAGACCTGTGGCGTGAGCCCCACAGGGCAGGGGTGGAGGTGGGGATATTTTACATGCCCTTGAAAATTGACTCAGGAACTAAGAATGTTCAGTTATTTGGTAAACAATGCCTGAAGTAGTACCTGTTCGTTTTAGAAAAATGCACCAAAGCATAGGGAAGGAAAAAACCCTCCAGAAGTTGGCTTTGTGCCCCTTCTTGTCAGCCCCCTTGCGAACAGACCTGCCCACTCCTGTCGTAGTGAGCCTTGACCTGTCCCCACTGACCTCCCTGTCCCTCCTGCAGGTGACATTGGAGGCCAGATGGGGCTCTTCATTGGGGCCAGCATTCTCACGGTGCTGGAGCTCTTTGATTATGCCTACGAGGTGAGTTGGGGAGGGCATCGAGCCTCAGGGCCATGGAGATGCGGGGCCACAGGGTGCCCACTCCCACCCTGCCCCTCCGTTACAGGTCATTAAGCACAAGCTGTGCCGTCGAGGGAAGTGCCAGAAGGAAGCCAAGAGGAGCAGCGTGGACAAGGGTGTGGCCCTCAGCCTAGATGACGTCAAAAGACACGTGAGGGAGCAGGCGAGCAGTGCCTTGTGGCCCCGCCCCTTACTCGCACCACCCCAGGACCTCCCTCTACTTATCTCTTTTGCCTCCTTTACATGGCCCTTCTGATACCCAGTTCCTATCCTGTGCCCTTCCCCTAGAATCCGTGCGAGAGCCTCCGTGGCCATCCAGCCGGTATGACATACGCTGCCAACATCCTACCTCACCATCCGGCGCGAGGCACATTCGAGGACTTTACCTGCTGAGTCCTGAAGGCCACTGTACCAAAGGCCTAGCTGGGGAGGGTCCCCTCCGCTGTCACTCATCTGTCCTGGGGACTCACCCCCCACTCCCAGGATAGCTCCCTACTCCTAGGCAGTCCTTTTCTCTTGTCTGTGGTGAGGAAGGGGTCTTGACCTTAGAGACTTCTTCCTGCCACTGTTCCATTCTTTTTATTTTTAACAAAACTAATCTAAAAGAGACACTAAACAGAGAGAAAGGGACAAGGGACCTCAGGCTGTCCTCTCTGTCCCATGCTGCCTCCCCCGCTCCCAGCCGAATTCTGTCTGTCTGGCTGTCTGTCTTCTGAATGTCCACCTACATTTGCTGCCACCATTCACCAAAGCCCCCTCCCAGTGAGGGGTTGAGGGGATCTCTGGGGTCTATATTTTGTCCCAAACCAGAGAATGTACTATGAGGGGGAGGGCTAGTGGGGGGGGGCTTCCCCAGCCTTAACAGACCCTCTTAGCCCAGTGACCCACCCCCAACCCCAAATCTCCAGGCAGGAACTCCAGGCAGTCCCATCCCTTCACACCATGTGGAGTCCTTAGGGGGTTGGGCGGGAGGATCCCCTGAAGTAGTAGAGACAGGCAAGGTGTGGCCCTGATGCTGTGGGCACATCCTAACACCTACAAGCTCAAGCTCACCCTCACCCCAGAGCTATAGCTGCTGGAGAGAAATTTCAAGAGGCAACCCTCCTCTACCGTCCCATAACAGACCCTGCTGGTTGGCTTCCAGCACGGGGAGAGGGGCACTGGTGCCTGACCTCACTAGTCCCTCTCCCAGAGGCCCCTGCAGAGGGCCACATCCATAAATTTTCTTATGGAACTCCCCCAAGTCCTCTTCCCCAACTCCATTTGCTTCTCTCAACAACCTCATCTGCATTTTCTATTTCTATATGATACAGACTCTATATTGCTATATCTCTGTATATACTTTCCCTCAACCTTGTCTGTCTCCACCCCATCCCCTCTTGTCTCTGTGAACCATCCCCCTCTTTAAGTTCCCCCTTCTGTGTCTCAGTCCCCTCCCTGGTTTCTGAATGCCTTCGCCTGTATAAAGAGTTGGACTCTCTCCCCTGGTGTCTGTACTGTGTACACACATCCCTCTGAGAAGCACAAGGAGACGACACGCGCATTGTAACCTTCGCACTGTCTCGGTGGCAACATAAAGGAAGCTGTGAATCACAAGCTCTGCCTCTTTCTGGCCTCACCCTCTCCCCCAACCTGGGTGCCCTCTGCCTTCCCTGCAGCCTTAACATTCCCCTCCCTTGCTCCACCTAACCCAATGTCCTTTGTTTGGCTGACTTTGGCCTTGCCAGGGAAGGCGTTGTTACAGAGATAGCCCCTACCCAGGGGATGAAGACTGCATTGGACACTAAACCAAGGAGAATTCATCCTGAGCTGGCAGCCAGAGTTTCAGAGACAAAAGGGAGCTGGGCAATGGGGTGCTGGCAGGCAGAAGGGGAGGCCCTCAGTCAGTGTCCTTTCCCTCTTTTCCTCAACTGATACCCAAGCCCACCACTCAGATTTTCTGATGAAGTGGGATCTGGTAGTGGGAGGAAAGAGACAAGCCTAGAGAGGGAGTTGAAAGCTCTGCTGTTCTTCCCTCCCTTTACATGAGACAAGTGAGAGGAAGAGCCTGCCTCCCCAGTCATCTTACAGGGTATTCTTCCCAGGCCAGAGCCCCTACTCCTTTCTAGGCCTTTTCTGCCCAACTGTTTCTGGTCTCCAAACCTAGGACAGGATCCATGGGCAGGCCACCTGTGCATTGGCCTGGAGCTGGAGAGTAAGGCTGTTTTTGGATCTTTGGGAACTCTTGGTTCCTGGGAATTCCTTAAGAGACCAGACCTCCCCAGAGGGAAACAGTAGCAAGCTAAGAAGTGTGCACTGGATGGGGAACAGCAGGCCGGGCTCTGGGTGACGCATGCCTCTGGTCTAATAAACTGGGTTTCAACCATCTCTTCAGTGTTGTTCTTCACTCAGTGAAAAGTGATTAGGTCTTCCCACTAAGTTTCTGGAGTCCTGGTGTGGCATTGAAGGATAAGTGCTTGACTTCAAGGTGGTTTGAACTGCAAGGTTGGTGGTTCAAACTCACCATCTGCTCCTTGGAAAGCCTATACAGCAGAGATGACGAATCTTTTTTGCCAAAATTTATAGCATCATTTGCAGGCCACACAAAATTAACTTAAAAAGTTGTTGTTGTTGTTAAGTGCCTTCGAGTCGGTTCCGACCCATAGCGACCCTGTACAGGGTTTCCGAGGGTGTAAATCTTTACGGGAGTAGAAAGCCTCATCTTTCTCCCGCGGAGCAGCTGGTAGTTTCGAACTGCTGACCTTATGGTTCACAGCCCGATTCGTAACCACTACGCTACCAGAAGTAGCCTGCCATATTTAATTAACTCATCTCTAATGTGAAGGTAAGGAACTCTGGTAGCGTAGTGGTTACGAATCGGGCTGCGAACCTCAAGGTCAGCAGTTCGAAACTACCAGCTGTTCCGCGGGTTCTGCTCCCGTAAAGATTTACAGCCTCGGAAACCCACAACAACAACAATGTGAAGGTGGCTGGAACTGCATTGGCTTGGCAGGACCAGATCAAATTATTAGGTGGGCCTTATATGAGTTGGGCTGCTAACCTCAAGGTCAGCAGTTCCAAACTACCAGCGGTTCAGCCGGAGAAGGATATTGTTGTTATGTGCCGTGGAGTTGGTTCCGACTCTTAGAGACCCTGTATAGGGTTTCCGAGGCTGTAAATCTTTAAAATCTTTACGGGAGCAGAAAGCCTCATCTTTCTAGCGGAACCGCTGATAGTTTCCAACTGTGAGTCAGAACCAACTCCAAACTGCAAAGCCCCTTTGAATCGCAAGGTCGGAGGTTCAAGCTCTCCAGCTGTGCTATTCAGACACCTTATACAAGGTCGCTGTGGGTCGGATCGACTCGACGGCACTTAAAACAATGTGAGTTGGAACCGACTGTCTAAACTTAAGTGCCTCGCGTTGTGCTTGACTTGGAGCCAATCAGGGAGGCGTTTAAGGCCAGAGTTTGAATAGGGAGGTCCTGACCCTCCAGGAATGGGGCAGGCTGACCACGAGGGTGATGGGTGGGGGAAGGGCTGAAGTACTGGGCAGGGAGAGAGGAAGGGGTCTGAAGCAACAAAGACCTCAAAGGGAAGCCCCACCACAAATGATTCATTGAAAAGAGCAACCGGGATCAAAATTTAAGATACTGGAATGTAAAATCTGCAGCATGTCAGCTTTTAAAAAAGGTGGGAGCAAACTTGGGATGAAGTTCCAGTGTAAAGTGGTTGTTAAGGCACTTTATCTGTAGAGTGAACCCCGGGCTAGGAGTCAGGGGATCTGAATCTAGGCATGACTGCTGTAACTTTTTGGTTGACCTTTGCCAAGTATGTCATTTACTCTTTGAGCTCAGTTTTCCCGTTTCTAAAATAGAATAAATAAACTGCGTTCCCCTCCTCAGCACCCCCGGAGTTATGGCGGTGAGGGAACAAATGGAAAGTAATCAAAGCGCTTAGTAAAGTTAAAAGTGCTGAGCCAAGATGAAGCACTCGGCCACCCTCTTCAGACGCTTAGCACTGAGGCTGTCGTCCCTCTTTGCAGGTCTTTCTCTGACGCCCGTCGGCTTGGGGGCGCCCGCTCCCAGGGCCTCTCTATCCCAGAGCTCTTCTCTATGGTTTCCCCTCCCGGACCGTGAAGGCGGGAGGGAGTGGTCAGCACAGCCTTTTCCGCTAGTTCCCCCCACTCTAGCCCACAGTCTCGCTGCCCTGAGCCTCCCGTGCCGGCCGGCCGGCCGGGAGGACAAGCGGGCACAAGGTGGGCGCGCAGGGGGCGGGGGGAGTTCCGGTTCCGGTTCTTTGTGCAGCTGCAGCGGCGGCTCCGGGGAAGATGGCGGCCCGGGCGGGTTTCCAGTCTGTGGCTCCGAGCGGCGGCGCCGGAGCCTCAGGAGGGGCGGGCGCGGCAGCCGCCCTGGGGCCGGGCGGGACTCCGGGGCCCCCAGTGCGAATGGGCCCGGCGCCGGGGCAAGGGCTGTACCGCTCCCCAATGCCGGGAGCGGCCTATCCGGTGAGTGGGGCAGGAGGAGGGGCGCGTGGGCCGGGGGCGGGGCCGAGTGGGGCCCTGGGAGTGACAGGGGTGCGGGGAGAAGTAGGAGGGACTCCCCTGGGAGAAATTCAGGCCCTGGGTGCGGGTGGGGTTAGGGAAGGCAATCCAGAGGAAGGGAGGGGGAGCAATTAGCATCCCCACCTGCTTCTAGGAGCTTTTCCGTGTGAAAAGTAAGGGACCAGTGTGGATGTAGTGGGGCCAAGGATAGGTATATGAGGTCTGAAGTGCAAATGGAATTGAGCTGCTCCAAGGCCCAGAGAGAAGACAAGGTGTAGCTGGCAAATTAGGGTCAGCTTCTACAGAAATAGTAGCTGGCAGAGTATATGTGGGACTAAAGGAGAAGTCTGATGTGCCAGATCCAAAGTAAATTGGTGACAATTTTAGTATAATCTGGCTATTTCTCAGCTTTGGGGCCATATTCTTCTGTGGAACCATGATTGGAACGGAGAACACCCCAGTTGTCTATATTTCAAAGAGGCAGAGCGCCCTCCTTTCATTTATCTCTCCCCTGACACCCCATGCCCCAGCCCTGTTTCATTCAGAAGAACTCAGGCAACCCCTCCTTTGCCATGACATCTCTGGGTCTTCTCTCCTCTATAGAGACCAGGTATGCTGCCAGGCAGTCGAATGACACCTCAGGGACCTTCCATGGGACCCCCTGGTTATGGGGGCAACCCTTCAGTCCGACCTGGCCTAACCCAGTCAGGGATGGATCAGTCCCGTAAGAGACCTGCACCTCAGCAGATCCAGCAGGTGCAGCAACAGACAGTCCAAAATCGAAACCACAAGTAAGATGGCTCTGGGGCAGGAGGGAGGGAGAGGAGGGGTCTGTGAGAAAACGGGTGGGGGTAGCATGAACCAAGATGTGACGATGGTGTGTTAGCAATCTGCTACTGCTGCTGAACTCATTCTCCTTGGGTTTGGGGGTGGGGGGTGGTTCTTTGAGAGAAGCTTTGCAGCCCTTCTACATCATATAAATGGAGCTGCTGACAGCTTGTTTTCATGTTCTGGCTAGTGCCATCCCAACCTAATGACAGTATTTATTCCAAACAGTGCAAAGAAAAAGAAGATGGCTGACAAAATTCTACCTCAGAGGGTGAGTCCAGGCTATAGATTTTCTTGAGGGTGTGATGAGTTTTAGCATAGATACGGTCAGCTCTAGATCCCAGTTACATCTTTCTGTTCCTAAGATTCGTGAATTGGTACCGGAATCTCAGGCCTATATGGATCTCTTGGCTTTTGAAAGGAAGCTGGACCAGACTATCATGAGGAAACGGCTAGATATCCAGGAGGCCTTGAAACGTCCCATCAAGGTAACACAGGAGACCGCTAGGCAGGGAGCCAAAGGAAAGGACTCGGTAGCCTTCAGCAGGCTTAGAGTAAGAAATGAAAGGCGCAGCACAGCTCTCCTTGGCATTTAAATTGCATCTCTCCCTTCCGCCTACAAGCTGAGAATTACATTAGGAGGGTAAGAACAGAACAGCAAGGAGGAGGAGGAGCTTTTGATGTCTCTTACACCAGAAATAAACCCTGTCCATGTTTTTGCTATAACTGCTCTGCTGCCTTTGGGACCTGGTACCCTGCATGACTGTCCACCTGGCATCCCCATGTGTGTTCTCACACTCCGGCCAGTGACCTATCCTCCCCTTTTAGATGGACTCGCCATTCATCTGCCCCTAGGTAGATAGTAAACCAGTCTGTTAGGAGTTAATTTTGGGGTTTGGGGAGACTCTCTAATCTTCAGCATCAAACTACTGAAGCCCCACCATCAACCCTGTTTCTACCTTCCTCAGCAAAAACGGAAACTGCGAATTTTCATTTCTAACACTTTCAATCCGGCTAAGTCAGATGCCGAGGATGGGGAAGGGACGGTGGCTTCCTGGGAGCTTCGGGTAGAAGGACGGCTCCTGGAGGATGTGAGTTGAAGGTCCACCGTGGCCGGTGTGTAGGGTGGGAGCTGTTGGGAACAAGCAGTGTTGTCTGGTCAGCAGGAAGCCTGACTGGTACTTACCGCTCCTGTTGGGAGCAGCAGGGAGAGGAACGCTGTGTTCCCTGCACTGGAAGACAATGGTTCTTTGTGTCTGGCTCCCACAGCTTTGGCTCTCACTGTGGTATCATATTGAGAACCTTATTGTCCTAGCATCTGATTTGTTGTTTACCTTATTCCTGGTGCTGCTGGCCACTGGATTTATCAGTTTCTGCAGGTTCTTTTTTTTTTAATTTTAACCTAGTTTGCACTTGACATTTGAAGCCATGATTTCCTCTCTGAGTCCTGAGGTCCTTGATTCCCATCGAGGCATCTCCCTCTTTCCACCTTTCATTGGAGACACCTCACAGTTTACGTGAGATAGACCTATGTGGTAGACTCTTTGTCATTTCACGAAGGGCATCAGCTGATAAGTGACAGACCCCACTTATCTACTCCAGCAGCTCCTTGGGAAAGCTCCTTTTCCCTTACTCCTGTATGTTCTCTGACTCTCTGTAGCTGCTCACAGGCAAGCTCATCTGAATGGGTTTTGTTTTTTGCTTTTTGTTTTGTTTTCCAGAAGAACCAGGGCTCAATGTCAGAGCCTTCTTCTTCTCTTTTTAGGTCCAGTTCATCTGCTGATACTGTTATCCCATCCAAATACAGCTGTTTTTGTTCTGGTTGCTTATTGCCTATGCTTTGTTGGTATATGCATTGATTTGGCTTACCTTGCCTCATTTCTCTTAGGGAAGGAGGTGGGTAAGTCAGTGACCCGTGCATGTTACAGACCATTTCTCCAGGGTTCCGTTGCTACCGTGACTGGTTTAATACCCACAGAAACCCGCCTTGCCATCCAAGAGAGATTTTGAAGAGATTTCTGAATAATGTTTTCCCATTGCTGTTGTGGGTTCCTTTTCTGTGGTACTTTGTCCTGGGACGTTTCTTTTGGTCTTTTCTAACATGAGCTCTCCTTTTTTCCCTCTAGTCAGCCTTGTCCAAATATGATGCCACCAAACAAAAAAGGAAGTTCTCTTCCTTTTTTAAGTCTTTGGTGATTGAACTGGACAAAGACCTGTATGGGCCAGACAACCATCTGGTAGAAGTGAGTAGTTCTGCCTTCTAGGCTTTAATTCTGTCATTGGAGGTTGGTGGACTTGGGAGTCAAATTTCACTGTCTAAGGAGTGGGAAGGTACCAATGAAAAGAGTTAGCCAGGTGTGCATTACCACCGTGCAGTTTGCACGTTGACCTCCAGGTGGAACTAGTTGTGTTTAGTACAGGTGCTGGATCCAAGAAAACTTGCAATGTAACTTGTCCCACTTTTTTTGACTGTTACTAAGCTGTGACTCTGTAGGGTAAGCACTAGACTGCTAACCACACGGTCAGTGATTGGAGCCCACCAGATGCTCTGCAGGAGAAAGATGAGGCTTTCTGCTCCAGCAAAGATTACAGTCTTAGGCAGAACACTTTCATTCTGTTGTGTATAGGGTCAACTGTGAGTCGGAGTTGACTCTTTGGCATTTAACAACAGCAACCATCTTGGTTACACAGAAAGTTAATTTTTCTGACCCCACTTTCAAGTGTCTAATGGAGGCCTCTTGAACATATCAGGCCACCTCTGCATCTTGCTTGTTAATAGTCATGAGACCTAATTATCCATGTGCCATTTCTACTTTTTTTTCTGGTAGCAGTTGCTGTAGTTAAGGGGTTGAGTAATGGATACTAGTACTTGTCAGGGTTGCCTTTATAGCACTGGCTACTTCCTGTTGGTCCCTGCTCCCTTTAGATCCCAAGTTCGGAAGACCATGTTAGTGATAGTATTCATGTTACAGAAGAGCGTGCTAATAGCTGAATTCTTTGGGATATAGTCAGAACCAGAATGAGCCAGTCCAGCACTCCAACTAAGCATAATCTGATCCTTTGTTTGCTAGTATAGCCACAGCTCCATAATCTTAACCAATAAGAGCCATGGGAAGGTCTTTACCATCTAACAAAGGAAGTAAGTTAAGGAATCAATAGCAATTTGTGAACATATTTAATTTTATAGTAGTATGACACAGTGTCTAAGAATGAGGACTCTAGAATCAAACACATCGGAGGTCAAATCCCAGCTCCACCACATATTGGTTGCTTGACTTTAGGCAAGCTACTTCACTCTTCTAAGCATTCGTTTTGGTAGTGACTATCTCATATGGATGCTGCAGGAACTGAATCAGATAATCCAAATAAATGACTTACTCTTGCATATAGAAAGTATTTAGCAGATGCTAGCTACACTGTGTTACTGTGTACATGTGTAGTGTCTACTTTGTGAATAAAATGATCACTGGAAATTCAGGTTAATTGAAATGGGACTCTGAACAGTCATAATTAAAGAGTTAATCCATTACACATTCGAGGGGGGCTTCAAAAAGTTCATGGAAAAATAAGGTTGCAAGACAATGGAATTTTTCCATAAACTTTTTGAAGCCTCTTCATAGATAATCTCACAGCCATATGCAATTTAAAAAAAAAGAAAGAAAAGCCTCATGCTACTGCTCTTTCCCAATAGCTTCAATAATCAAAAATTGAATATTGAGTCATTCCAAAAGCTCTTCCCTCCCACCCCAGCTCTTCCTCTGGGAGCGCACCCCCTGACATCTTCCTCTCTCTAGTGGCACAGGACCGCCACTACACAGGAGACTGATGGCTTCCAGGTGAAGCGGCCGGGAGATGTGAATGTACGATGTACCGTCCTGCTGATGCTGGATTACCAGGTACCGTGTGATGGTGCAGGGGGTTCCAGCTTTCACAGCCACATCCCATCAGCAGTTCTGCGATTGAAATCTAGTCTTGAATAATTTCCCACCAAACTCTTTTAAGTTCCCTCAGTACAGGAAAAGGTTTTAATCATGTCTGATTTTCTTCTAGTGATTTTCTTGCCCCAGGGAAAGTACTTCATTAATGTTGGTAGAATGAGTTGAATAAATGGCCCGTGCTGGTGGTGGTGTGCTGTAGAGTTGATTCTGACTCACAGTAACCCTGCGTAGGTTTCTGAGGCCGTAAATCTTTACGGGAGCAGGAGCAGAAAACCTCATCTTTTCTCCTGTGGAACCACTGGTTTCGAACTGCTAACCATGAGATTAGCAGCCCGATTCATAACCACTACCCTACCAGAGCTCCTTAAATGGCCATGCTTTTGTTGTTGTTAAGTGTCATGGAGTCAGTACCGACTCACAGTGACCCTATGTACAACAGAACGAAACACTGCCCGGTCCTGGGCCAACCTCACAATTGTTGCCACGCATAAGCCCATTGATGCTGCCACTTTGCCAGTCCATCTCGCTGGGGATCTTCCTCTTTTTTCTCTGATCCTCCACCTTACCAAACATGATATCCTTCTTCAGCAACTGGTCCCACTTGACAATGTGTCCAAAGTATGAGAGACGAAGTTTGGCCATCCTGGCCTCCAAGGAGCACTCTGGCTGCACTTCTTCCAACACAGATCTGTTGGTTCTTTTGGCAGCCTATGGCACTTTCAATATTCTCCTCCAACACCATAACTCAAAAGTATCAATTCTTCTATGGTCTTCCTTATTCACTGTCAAGCTTTCGCATGCATATGAGGTTATTGAAAATACCATGGCTTGGGTCAGGCGCCCCTTAGTCCTAAAGCTGACATCTTTGCTTTTCAACACTTTAAAAAGGTCTTGTGCAGCAGATTTGCCTAATGCAATATGTCGTTTTATTTCTTGACTGCTGCTTTCATTAGTGTTGATGGTTGATCCAAGAAGAATAAAGTCCTTAACAACTGCAGTCTTTGCTCCATTGATAAGAATGTTGTTTATTGGTCCAATGATGAGGATTTTTGTTTTCTTTACATTGAGATGCAATCCATACCAAAAGGTGTGGTCTTTGATCTTCATCAGTAAGTATTTTAAGTCCTCTTCACTTTCAGCAAGCATGTTTACCTGAGCTTTAATGACTATACAAAGGCTTTTGGTTGTGTGGATCATGACAAGCTATGGACAACATTGCAAACTATGAGTATTCTGGAAAACTTAATTATGCTCATGAGGAATCTATACACAGATCAAGAGGCAATTGTTCGAACAGAACATGGGAACAGTGAATGGTTTAAAATTAAGAAAGATGTGTGACAGGATTATATTCTTTCACCATACTTACTCAACCTGTATGCTGAGCAAATAATCCGAAAAGCTGGGTTATATGAAGAAAAACGCATCAGGATTGGAGGAAGACTCATTACCAACCTGCGGTATGCAGATGATACAACCTTGCTTGCTGAAAGTGAAGAGGACTTAAAATGGCATGCTAAAAGTACCCAAAAATGCAGGTAGCCACAGCTCACTAACTTTGTCCTTATGCTCTGGTTCTTGGCAGCCTCCTCAGTTTAAATTAGACCCTCGTCTGGCTCGGCTTTTGGGCATCCATACTCAGACTCGTCCAGTAATTATCCAAGCTCTGTGGCAGTATATTAAGACACATAAGCTCCAAGACCCTCATGAGCGGGAATTTGTCATCTGTGACAAGTACCTCCAGCAGGTAAATAAAAGATCTTTTCTTTTGCTAGATCCTACCAGCGTGCTGTTGTTGTTAGTTGCCATTGAGTTGGTTCCAGCTCAGGGCGAATGAAACACTAGCTGATCCTGTGCCAGCCTCACAGCTGTTATATTTGAGCCCATTGTTGTGGCCACTGTCATCCCATCTCTTTGGGGGTCTTCCTCTTTTACGCTGACTCTCAACTTTACCAAGCATGATGTCCTCCCCCAGCGACTGGTCCCTTCTGACAACATGTCCAAAGTATTGAGAGACAAAGTCTTGCCATCCTTAATTCAAAGGAACATTCACTGGAGAGATGTTCAAAATGAGAACGTCTAACTGCTTCTCTTCTTTCCCACAGATCTTTGAGTCTCAACGTATGAAGTTTTCTGAGATCCCCCAGCGGCTCCATGCTTTGCTTATGCCACCAGAGCCCATCATCATTAATCATGTCATTAGGTAAGCATGTGTTTGGGAGACAGTAGTGTGCTGAAACTGACTGTAACCAGCTTGTAAGTGTCAGTTGTCAAATTTTCAGGGATTTTGCAAGCAAGTTGTTAAATAGCCAATATTTACATTTAAGTTATATGCACTTGAATACATACACTATATTAAAAATGATAATAGATGAGAGTTCAGAACTCATCACTTCCTGATTATTTTATTATATATTACTATTGTGTGTGCTCTTGAAGTTACTTGTATCTTTTGTAACTATACGGTGATAATAACACATAATGGCACAGAGGGGGTTGTACTCATAGCAATGAAACGAAATAAGGATAGGATGAATGTAAAGCTAATGTTCTCCCATGTTCTATCACATAATTCACAGTAAAAACTTAGAAAAAAAAAAAAACCTAAACTAAACTAAATGAGAGCTCTAAATACCAGCAGAGAGGGAAGGAGTCTTCACATCAAGTATCAATGCTATCCACTCTGTATACAGGGTAAATAGGGGTGGGCAACTTAGACATTGGCTACCTAAAATGAGGGGGTGATAAAGACACGAAGTGACTGGCTTACAAGGTTTCATGGGGGAGTTTAATAGTGTGTGGGGGAAGAAAGAGTCCCCGCTGAACAGTTTATATCTTGTCTAGATGGGCCTGGTGAAAAGAGATGGGGATGAGAGTCTTATGATTCAATAGTGAGTAATTGTTACAACTAATTGCAACTGTCACAATTATTAAGGTAGAAGTTTTATAACAAAAATGGGGGAGTAGTTAATCTTACAGTCCAGAAACAGAGAACCCTAAGACCATCAGGGGAGAAGAGCACGAGCAGAATGCGAGACCTTATCCAGAGAAACAGTGACACAAGAGAGGGAGCAGCTGAAGACTCTAGATTCATGTTTCATGGGAAGCGAGGGACAGAGCTGGCGGCCAGGAAGCAGACTTGCAGAATGTGCTCTTTGGTAGTATAAATTATTATATATGCCTGAGTGTTAAAAAAAAAAGCTAAAGCAAATAGAGAGAAATACTGATAACTGATGGTACATGGTGAGGATTATAATCATTGTAATGAAACAAGGTGTATGATTTGTTGAATGTAAAACTAAAGATCTGCCCTGTAAACAATTCCCCAATAAAAACCTTAAAATAATAAAAAAAAAAAAGTGACGAGGTAAAGAAACATTTTCTAGTTTTCTCTAGAAGCTTATCATTAAATTCAGTGTTTTATTTAAAAAGTTATGGTCTATAAATAAGGTATAATCGAAGTAAATCTTAATTTAAAAAAAAGTGCATAATGGTGTGCTAGTGCACATATCTTCCCAATTCTCAGTGACATAATGTTGATAGCTCAAAAACAGCTATGGTAGGAGTAATTAAACCATAGAAATGGCAATGCTACATACAGATCAAGGCTTTTTTATCCTTTGAAAAATCACTTGTAAACATTTACCAGCTCACCACTGACTGGCAGGATCAGCAGCCGTCTTCTCGGTGGATGGTCGGACATTATCATCTGAGACTCCATTACTTGCATCCACTCTTTGGTTGAGAAGTTGGGGGGGGAGTATGGCATCTCCAGCAGACAGGGAGTAAAGGAAGGCATTTCTTCAGAGCAGCTTCTCTCTGGTTGTGTATGATCTCTGTGCCTTCTTTCTCTTACTTCATATTATTATTGTAACCAGACACTCCTTTCTTTAGATCTGAACTATCACCCAAAAGTGACCATGAAACCTATAAATTGGATCATTAGAAGTTGGTCTGCCTGTATTCCTGTGCTTAGAATTTGTACCATTTTGTGTGTGTGTATGTGTTGTTTAAATCTAGTTTTAGAGTCAATTTTAGTTTAGAAAGGAAATACATGAGATATTGTAGCATTAATTTCTCTGTATTTGTTTATATACTATTTGAGATTTTTTTTGTCAACTTTGGGGTGTGATTTATATATAATAAATTGTAACCATTTAAAGTACAATTTAATGGCTTTGGGCAAATGTCTATACTATGTAGCTACCACCAACCAGGTCACCCTCGAAAGTTCTCATGCTGTTACTCAGCCAGACAAACCCCCCTCCTCCCTTCATCCCAGGCCATCTTTTTGACCTTTTATAATTAGGTTTTAGGGAACAAGCCCTTTTACCAGGCCCCTTTGGTTTCCTCCTCAGTGTTGACCCTAATGATCAGAAAAAAACAGCTTGTTATGACATTGATGTGGAAGTGGATGATACCTTGAAGACCCAGATGAATTCTTTCCTGCTCTCTACCGCCAGCCAGCAGGAGATTGCTACTCTAGACAACAAGGTAGGGCCTCTGCCCAGGGTAGTTTGGATGCCATCAGCTACCACTACAGCTTCTTGGCTGCTTTCTGATGTTTGTTATTCATTCAAAATAGTTAGACCCCCCCCCCCCC